ATCTGCTAGAGGGTGTGGGGGGGCCACAGCCCCGTCCTCCAGGGCGTGAAGCAGGTGTGGAGGAGATCAAAACTCCAGACATCCAGAGGCCCCCAGAAAACAAGAGACCAAGGAAGACCAACAGAGGGGCAGCTGCGCCACTGTCCCAGAAAGAGGGTATGAAGCAGGTATGGAGGAGATCAAAACTCCAGACATCCAGAGGCCCCCAGAACACAAGAGACCAAGGAAGACCAACAGAGGGGCAGCCTGTTTTCTATTGTTTAATCTCAAACAGTGACTTACTGTACCTTTAAGTTTTGAAATACTAATGTAGGCTCTAATGGATAAAGTCATTTAATAGTGTAGCACATAATTATTTTACAGCTGTATAACTGAACATACTGAGCAAATTAGCAGCAGAAAGGGTAGCTCAGGTCATTTCTACACCGTAAACAACAGATTATATTGTGTGCTGTATGTGTGTACGCGCTCACCTTTACACACCAGCAGGAAGTTACGAGGCTTATGTGCAATTAACTTGACTGTCTAATCATGACAAATCAGCATTTACTGATAGCAACTAGAGGCTAACAGATGTGAAGATTATTAATTTTATAGTATGTGCGCAGGCAGTGATGAAGTGGAGCATGGGATGCAAAAGAACAGTAGTTTGGAAATTCCCTGTATGTGTATGACAGCTAAAGGTGTGTGCAGTGATCAAAAAGTATTATATGGTTATGGGTTTGTAACTTAGCTTAACAGAATACAGTTAATCTTTTCATTTCCAGCAACGCCCTGCTTCCAGGCAAAACAGCTGGAAAAGCGTCATTTTATGAAAAGCAGGAGAAGCTTTTCTTTGTATTCTTTTCATTGTTACAGCATTTTTTTTAACTAGCGGATAAAAACAGGTGTGGGTGTGGGCAGTAAAGTGCTCTGCTTAGAGATACACCACCTGACTTTAATGAAAGGCCCAAAAGTGCCATAGAATCAAAATGCTCCTCTCGAGCCTTGAAGATGGTATCCTGCAAATCAATCTATGACGCCACTGTGGCTAAATCCATCTTTTATATACAATCTATGCATTTGACATGGAACGTTTACAGGTCAAAAGACAACTACAGATCACGCACGTGCCTCTTACCATGTCTTTGAAGGCGTTCTCGATGGCTCCAATCACCAGGCTCTCCTGCGACACCTTCTTCTCTGTGAAGAAGCGTGTCGGTGGGGTACTGGGGGAACCCGGAGCCCCTGCGGCACCCCGGAGCGATGCAGCCCTTGTAAGGACACGCTGAGATGAAGGGGTGAGGTGGTGATTGATAGGTTCCTCACCCAGGCACGTGGGCGGCACAAGGTTAGGAGTACAGAGGATCTCCATCACTTCCTGTAGGTGCAGGGCAATGTGGTGGTGGAGAAGACGAGAGGCCATTACAGCTGCCCCAGAGCCAGCGTGGCCATCGAACAATGCCCAGTAGTGTAAAGTTAGGTCTTCAGAGTTGTCCTGGAAACAGATAAGAATCAAAGTAAATAAAAATGTGTCAACATTAAGTATGCAAAATGCGAGAGGAGGAACTTCATCTGACTTTGCATTCATACTGATCTATGAACTGCACGCCGAAAATCCACTGAATATCAAAGGTGGAAGTATGTGAAGTACAGCCTGATGGGCAAAGAGTCGTGACATTTAGGAACCGCTGATGTACAATCATGGTAATGGTGCACAGAGCGAAAAGAGAGACCTTTTTAATACCAAATCAGAACCAGTTGAACTCAAGGTACAGCTCTCAAACACAAACAGGAAGCTGTACTATGTAAATTGCGCTGCTCACAGTTGGTGGATGAGAGCGCCTTTCTACACAGCATTTAAATTCATCCCATCGGTCTTCAGTGTGAAGACTTCGTAATCTGATCTGAGCTCAAACCTCCCCACAGATATGCACGATGCCCATAAGTGAATGAACCTGATGTTAATGTTTGCTTTCGCTTAAATCTGGAGGTATTAGTAGGTGCGGCATGATGCAGTTTGTGCTCTGAAACCGCACACCGCGTCCTCTGTGTTGATCTACAAAGTCTCACCTCCCACATAAGATTCAAAATGTCTTGTGATCTGGCTGATTCATTGCTCACCTTTGAGTTTTTGGTCTTCACAAAAAACAAAAAAAACAACAACAATGGCCTGATTTCTGTTTAAAGTCTGTTACATATCAGCACAGCTCCCCTATCAGTAATGAAGTCACATAGCCACAGAGTTGCTGTTGCATGCATCACATTTTGCTGCGCAAAGTAAGCCTCTGATTGTCTATATATGGCACAGGCAAATTCTACAGCGTGAGTCTACGAGGCAGGCAAAGAGCACTAAAAAGGCTACATCACTGCGAAAGTGAGTCATGAGATACTTGCATGAGTTTGCTGTAGGCTCCGGCTGGGCCTGAGTAAAGTACTGGTGAGCTGAGAGGAGATTTTATGAGCAGTATTAGTATACTGTAATCACAAAGGACTTTAAAAGAGCTGGTAAACATTTTGCGCTTTTCATCTTTTCTCTGCCTTGTAGGGAATGGGATAAATTGCAAGTGATTGAATTAAGTGTGTCAATATGTCGTGACAGTAGAGCAGTGACACTGCATTTTGGTATAATGATACACAGTTTTCTTTAGTACTCCATGACACAATGTTCTTGTGAAAGCAAACAAGGGTGACTTTAAGAGTCATTGAAGGCTACCGTGGAGTGTGAAGGACGCTAAGCTGTCTGCTCCAATAAACTGCTGGGTCTCACCAACAGGCCCCAGGGGAATTCACTGATGAACTCATTCTACCTGCATTACCTTCATCAGTAAAGCTAAAATGTAAAGGCTTCAGTCTGCCATGGCATTTTTCTAGAAAGAAAGGAGGCATTATGACCCTTAAGTCATGCATGATAATCTGCTAAATTCTGTAAAATGTTTGGTCTGCAAATATAAGACTGTCTCGTAGAACACCGTTTCACTTGCTCAGTGATCCTTTATTAACTTTCCACCCGATTTCACCAAAAGACTTTTCCTTTTTTCCATTCTTTTTACTTCAGTGCAAATAATTATTTTGGCTGCGCACATGTTTATCCATCCAGACAGCGTGCTATTTCTAAAGATAACAAATGGAGAAGAAATGCAATAGATCACAGCACAGTTTGTACTCTATCCTTCTCTGTTGTCCTTTCCTGTCGTGAAAATGCATCTGCAGAATGTCCGTGAAGGTGGATGT